TAGAAGTGGTCAAATGTTTTGATGTGGTTTTGTTCTCTGAGCTGGATAGTTAGTTTGCGAAGCTTTCATCACCTTACTGGGTGACATCTTCAGCGCATACTTCAAATTGAAGTGAGCTTTTAGGTTTCTCCACGAGTTTATTAATCATTCCTCCTGGTGACCTTGAATGTGATTGGTTGTTTATGTATGTTTTCACACCTTCTAGGTTACTTGTGTTGGAACTGATTGTTTCTGTGACTTGAACTTTGGCCAATCGTGTGTGAAGTTTCTTTCTTATTGGTTGATAAATTTTGTCTATCTCGATGTGTCTATTGATTGATGATTCACTGGAATGCCAAGCTTCTAAAAATTCTCTAGCATTCTTGTTATTTCCTTTGTCTAATATTTGAACGTTGTCCCAGTCGAATTGATGTCCGTGGTTGTCTGTGTGTAGTGAAATGAGGGAGTGTATATCATGTCTTTTGACGGCTAGCTTATGTTCGTGGATACGAAGACGAAGGGGACGTCCACTTTGGCCAATGTAGTGTTTTTCACAGTTGTTACAGTTTATTTTGTAGATGATGTTGGTTTTGTCTTCTTTTGCTGTTGAGTCTTTTGGTTGACATAGAATTGAGTGCAGCGACTTTGTTGGTTTGTGTACGATGTCAATTCCTAAAGGTTTGAAGAGTCTTTTAGTGATTTCTGAGATATCCTTTATATATGGTAAGGCGATTTTCTTTGTGTTTTCCTTGGTCAAATGCGATAGCCTATTTTTAGATTTGTTGAAGAACAATGGGCGGGGCATTAGATTACTAAACGTAATGAAGTAGCAGAGAATTTCCTTTTCAGGGCATTATATATATATATATGTATATAATTCAGTTACCTGATAATAATTAATAGATTTTTATGAGCAAAAAACTCATCAAAAATAATTCTTCTGCTCATTATCAGTGTAGATGTTCTGTTTGTGAATCTGAATTATTTGATTTCATCCTGGCAAAAATGTTCTCTCACTGGCTGGTAATTTTCCCCTTTCACTCGGTTTTCATAGCTAATATCTTGTTTACATTCTAATTCTTATGTTTATATTAGTGCTGTATTAGTTGTTAATACCTTTCTTCTCTATTTTTTCTTTCATAATTGCAAACTCTCAGGGTGATGTCAGAAGGCATTGGGCATCTTTGGAGTACTCACTGATGGGTAAGAAATTTCATCACTTGTGTCATTTGATTTTACTTTTAAAAATTTATCATTAAAGTTTGCTCCACATTCAATCCACTTACAGGCTTTTAGTTATCTGTTATAACGTTTGATTTACGCTTGAGGTTTATCGTACTGCTATTAAGTTGTCCTTGACATTGAGCATTGATGCAATTAAGGTATCAAGTATCGGTTTGCAGAGATTTGATTGATTACAGGTTTGGTCATGAGCTAACATCAGTTAGAGAGCCATTGGAAAACCTGCAGGGAGTATTGGACAGCTTTTTCGTCACAAATTTGGACTTTTCAGCAGTACGAATCCACCGGGTGGGAACCCAGGATCTTCAGGTCACATGGCCATCTTTTAGAACATTCGACCATTGGGACTCGATTCGATGGACAGACTATGAACTTCAACTTTTGAGAATTCGTGATAAACATAGTGCAACTGCCAGTTAATGTCATCGACGAGTGACTGTTGTCTTACCTGACTTGGAGGACCCTGCTAGTTACCACTTCTCACTAGAACTGCACATAACTTCCTGTATGGCGTCAGTCTCTAGTGGGCATCAGATTAAGACAGCTATCTATCAGTTACTAAATGTACTGTGCAAAGATTCACCCGATTCTCCTCTATATTTGTGAAAATTATCTTCTGGAAGCAGAGTTTATATGTGAAGGCAGCAGGTTTTAGACTATATTTGTATTTTTAACTGTTTTTTTTAATTTAAGGGAATTAATACTAAATAGAAAGCGTTAAGATCAGAAGTAGAGATCTAAACCAGAATGGGAAATCAGTCTATTGGATTGTGGTGTTTATGGGTTGTGTTTTGTGTACCAGATCATTGTCTTCCTCGGAGATCATTGTTAGATGAAGGCGAACTAGGCTAAGAAAATCTTTAGGAATGTCTAACCGAAAATAGAACACCAGCGCAGGAAGTTTGAATTTTCATCTAAACTATATAGGATATTTTACGTGACTTATTTTGACATCTCTGAGATGTTACGAAACAATAATTAAAGGTGATTGATGGTGACATGATCTAAAATAGTTCACTGCTGAGCAGATGGATTCACTCATTATAAATTTCATGACTTCAAAAACTCACTATGCCTTATTTAACAGTCAGCGGGTTCCGTAGCAGTTACATTTTATTCATGTAATCTTCGTTTTTGTGTGGCTTTTCGTGTATGGCGATTTAAATTAATGCATATCGATGGGAAATCGCATATTGATTTGCCTGTTGAACTATATGTCATCTAAATGTATTGAGACAAGTGCAAAATAGTGCCGACTGATTGAGTTATTACCCATATCATCAGTAGTCTCCAGCCATCGGTTCTCATTATTCCGAGGAGCCTAACCTGGTAGTTCATACCTCCCTACTTGATTTAAACCAGTGGTCAAAGACTGCACGGATATGACGCCAGATTCTGCTTTGACAACCTCTAACTCTTTTACAACCTAATTCTATGTTAGCTGATATTGTTCGTTGAGGAATACGGTTGTTTGGAATGCATAACATGTGTCTTAACCATCTGAATCTATTCACCTTCATGATCTTATAAATCGGCTTCCCCTCCTTACTTAACAATCTACGCCTAATCTCAATATTACTTAGGATACTATACCGCCTAAGACGAGGGAGAGAATGCAAACATCTTTGGTTAAGGACAGCTAGCCTTTACATATCTTCGACTTTCAGTGACCATATGCTTACAGCCATAATGGATGACGGCGGAAAGTACTGAAAATTACATACATCCCTTGATTTGATGGCCAGATATCATGTCCACTCCAGAGATGATATACGTTAACGAACGCGCTACACAAGCCTTTTGTATACCCACCAAGATTTCATCAGAAATCTGTCCATCAGAACTGATACAAATTTTAACTGTACCGCTTATTTTTAAGCTACGGATAAATGTAGTCCAGTGAATCACACCCCAAACATTCGATGATTTCTGCTCAAGATGTTCAGAAGACCCTATGGTTCGTCTTCACATAGAAGTCAACAAGACTGTTCCCTGGTAGAGAAAGTCAATTCCCAAGTCGCTAAAGTCACTTTCACTCGTAGGTCTGTGATGAAATTAAACAGAAAAAAAAATGGGAACAGTAGACCATCCTTGACGAACTCCATTGGTATTTATCACTTCAGAAGATAACTCTTTACAAACTGTTTACACAGTTGTGCAAGTATCATTAGAGTGCCTTGAATATTACGATGTACTTCCTGACACCCATTTCTTAACACTTTCCATCGTTTTAAAATATCTACTTTAAGATTTATTTTTTGTTGTCTTTTTGCTTATTCCTTTATTTACAGATGAAAAGAATTGTTCCAATCTTCATATATGTCAAGCTGTTGATAATCAGTCGAATAAGTGTTTAACAGAAAAACTTGCCCAATTATATCCATCCTCTGATATTCTAAATCAATCAACAATAAATCATAATCAAATTCAATCAAAAATCAATACAAATAATCAATTATCTGAAAGTTTTACCAAAGAAGAAGACAACAAAGACGATAAATTTATTGCTGAAATTGAATTGATCAGTTTAATTGGTCAACGTGAATCCCTTCCACGTTATCGTCTTCGAGTGGATCCTTGTACTGCTTTCATAGGTTATAAAAATAAAGACTTTAAATCAGCCGGTAAACGAGTTACTCGTTATTTATCTAGCAAACATTCCACTTTGCCTAAATCAATAACTGAATTAACGACAGTCAACTCAGAATTAAGTGATAATCTCAATATTAATAATAATAAGATAGTTGAATATCATTCAGAAGAAGACTTTTCAGAAGAGGCAGAAGACGAAGAAGAGGACGACGAATCGCTTGGTTTAACGGAAGAACAGATTGAAAATACTCTAGATTACTTTAGTGAGTTTATTTATTTATTTTCTTCCCTACCCGTGAATTGAGTTGTGAAGGTAAAAAGATGTACTCTTCTATGAAGAGGATTTTCTTTTAAACGATAAAGTCGCCTTCAAAGAATTCACCGTCGGTGGCACAGCAGTTAGGACGCTCGCCAACCATGCACATGCTCCGGGGATTCGATCTCCAGCAGAGGCACAGCTGATATCAATGGACTACTGATATCATATGCTACAAATTCCATAGTTGTACTAAAAGGATACTGTGGAATCTAACTATAATAAAAAATTTTAAAATATTATTCAAGTATTGGTTTGTAGGGATTTGGTTACAAGATTTCATCATGAGCTGACATTGGTTAGAGAGAACCATTGGAAAACCAGCTGGGAGTACTGGACAGGTATGAGGACAAATACTCTCCGAAGACATTGGTTATCGGTTGCGCTGTGTTGTGAATTGGCTGGTCATCGGATCCGGTCACAGTGGCTTAATGGTCTACAAGCCAGGCTCAAAGTGATCGTTCTCAATGGCTAACGTGGATGCATCCACTTCTTGTGAATTGTAATACCCAATAAAACAATATTTTTCTTCGATATTATTATTGCTTTTGACTCAAACCTCTGTTTACTGTCTCTATTATGCATTTCTTATACTTTATTCTGTTGCTTTGTGTGCTACATGGAGTGTGGCGACTTGGACTGCCGCACATCGGTGCAAAGTTCTATGTTGAAAACAGACAGACAGACAGACAGCGTTCACAGCTGCTGCCAGGAAAGTCGTATTGACTACCTCCACATGGCAGTGATGTTTCTCACAATAGTGAATGCGGACTTCCGGTGCTCATCACCAGACTGATGGACATATAGGTTAGGGTTAGGGTTTATCTGAAGGAGCTGGAAAACTCCTATTCTAAACCTATAACGTATACGGGCTCCAGAATCTGAAAGGATCAGATGGAGTATGAGCCCTTTTTGGTCACCAAGAATTATGGGAACGCAGCTTCTGATACTGCTCCACTGCCGACTGGATCAGACTTCAAGTTAAAACCCCGGAGGTGGCGCCTTAAGACAACTACCTGCTCTGGTCTTGGCATACGGGGATTATTCCAGTCTTTGTGCAAACTGTGAGATTTTGTGTGATTCATCGCTTGGTACCCATAATGTACCAATTTTGTGTTTTATCAATTACAATAATAGTGTTCCCTTGGGTGACTGGTACTGTTATGCCCGAAATTTTTGAAGATCTTCATCGCCATTGTTTATAACTCATCCTGTTAATGAAGTAGCATTTTATTATAGTACTGTACGCAACTTTCTTTCCTACGAAATGGACTGTGCTGACAAAACTTCTACTCACCTATTCTATGATCGTCCATCACAAATGTACAATTGTTGGTTTGCAGGGATTTGATTCGTTTCAGATTAGATCACGAGCTGCCATCACTTAGAGAACCGTTGAAAAACCTTCAGGGGAAGTACTGGGTGGATGTTTCGTCCTATTCTTTTGGAACTCTTCAGTACCCAGCACCTTCCAGTCACAAGACAAGATCGTAGACTGTTCAATCACTTGAGCTGGAATCCAGTGGCCCATGAATTCCACCTTCTACCAGTTCAGTTATCCATTAATAGTACTCCTTGATTTTACAATGGTTCTCTAACACTGACATCATAAAATTAGCTTTCGCACTAATCATTTTCTTTTCAGTTGTATCGAAAGGTTATAGAATATCTGTTGAGTGTATTCACATTATACAGAAGCTAATTTTGTAATCACACACACAGACAGACACACACTTAAGACCAAATTGTTTTCATATAAAATTAGGTCAATACAGCAAATCTAATTAATCATCATCATCATCATCATAGAGTCTTTTTGAATAATACTTAAGTGAATTGTAGAAAGTGAAATGTGATCTTTGTCTAAGGTAATATTTTATTCAATCACATATAAAAGTTGTTTGCTTTTTTATCAAAATGCTAATCCTTTAATACTACACTGTGAATTATGATGAAGTTTTTTACATTTCTGTATTTTTCAACTGCTTCACAATTGATCATTAGTCTAAAAGAGAGTAAAATATATTGAAGTACTTGATTGATATATACATTTTTTTCTGTTGTATGTCAGAAAAATTCACTAATACGCTGACTATTATTAATATTAGTAGTAGTAGTAGTAGAAGTGTAACACCAGGAGGCAAGACACGGAAGCCAGAGAATATTTTTTATTGATCAAACCGCTATATATATATATGTAGAGTTTATATTCGTTAACCAATCGTCACTGAGCGTGTGATTTCGGTTTACATTAAATGACATGAAATAAAATGTCTGTTGCTAGTGCACTATTGAACTGTGGGAACAGTATTCAGACGATATGCCTAGTCATCGCCTTCCTCGACTGACGGGCAATGTTAGCTGGCTGACATAGGGTCAGGCTGGAAAAGAGCTATCTAGCGACGGTTAAACCAAAACATGGCACTAGTCAATGAAATCCACAACAGTTAGTTGAAGCCAGTCACGTAGGAAGGTGTAGACTGGCTTCCTGGTTGGGGTCCTCGGGACGGTAAAGACCAATAGTTGGAAACAATTGGTGACATGGTTAGCTCAAAATCGTTCTCAATGGCTGGCGCAGATGCATCCACTCCCTGTGACTTATGATTCCCAATGAAACTATATTGTTCTTCGTTATTACTATTCCTTTGTCTCACACCTCTGTTTACTGTCTCTATTCTGCATTTCTTCTACTTTCTTCTCTTGCTGTGTGTGCTACATGGAGGGAGTGTGGCGACTTGAACTGTCGCACATCAGTGCAAAGTTTTATGTCGAAAACAGACAAACAGATTCAGACGATATATATTACCAACAAATGCAATGATTCTTACTATGAGAATATAATACTCCGTTGGAACATATTGTCTGTATCACATCACCATAGTAGTAGTGCATTGGGCGCTGGAAATCTTGGATACTGTGACTAGATGTGATATCAGTACACAGTACATTAAATCTTATCACTACGTAAAGGCACTGAATCAATTCCGAGATGTGCAGCAATTTGGTATTAGGTGACTAATGATTTTGTGTAGATATCATATCAAATATTATCATTTCTCACGCATATTGTGATTGATTATGCGATCAATCATTCCTCACGGCTGCAAGTCGACTTTATTGTTGTAAAGAAAACATATAAATACTATGTATCGTTCTCTCCCCACCCCACCCCACCCCACCCAAAAAAACATACGGTACAGTACAGTATCTTACAGTCACAGACCAGTCTTTGTCTTGTGATATTTGCGTGGCTCAGTGAATGGGAAGGTGCAACGGGGAAATAGGCATGTTAGCGTACCAGTCGAGTTCATTACCGTTATTACCAATTAGCAGGCGCAGACATAACAAACTGGCGACAGGTTTATCCTATTCAGGGCAGTTATAACAGACATATTAAATTGATGATTAACAAACGCCAAAATAACCCTTGTGTAATTATCAATAATCCCTGCAGCAGGCTATAAGAACTACACAATTATTGTGTGAGGGCTGATGACACTACCCGGTAGTTGCCCAGGCTTATTTCGGTGAATCTGCGGGAGGGGGGTGAGACTTGAAACTGGGACCCATCGGCTAAAGGATTCTCAGGAGCCTGTAGTTGCACTCACACTTTCAGGTGAACCTTTTGAAGTTGTCAATAAGTTCATGTATCTAGGTAGTTGTTTGAGTGCTGACAGAGGACTAACGGATATATACTGTAAGATAGGGTAATAGCATACACTATTTTAAGCCACCTACGTAGCGACATCAGTCTGGCTGTCAAAAGTCAAGTTTACAATGCTTTGGTATGTGCAGTCTTGTTTTGCACATATGAAACTTGGCTTTTCCTAGATGAATATGTGTGATAACTCTAGGTATTCGGTAGTCACTGTCTCCGTAGAATTATGTACGTTGAATGACATCATGTAGGTACTTTTGAGTTCCGACAGCTTGTGTTTGGGCGTGATGGAAATCACCATTCATTGATTATCGTCATTTGGAAACACGGGTTTTGATTTCATTCCAGAGGCTTCCGTACCATTGTCTGTTCACTAGCCCTAGGAATATATGGCAAAAGTGGCGAAGTGGTCAGTCTGTGACGTGGTCCCGTAGGATTGAAGATATTTATGTTGGGTTAGCACTAGTTGGTACATTACAAGTCTTTGGTTGGGGTCCTTGAAATGCTTTGAATCAGGGTTTCAAAATATTATCAGATATGGGCAAGAATCGCAGTCACTGGCGAGCATACTGCGAATTCCTACTTTTTTGAAAGTAACTTGAATTGATGACTGTTGAATGATCTTGACAAGTATTCTTTCTCACTGTCTGAATAACGTATCTCATTAATTTTATCCCTATTTTTCCCTATATATTGTTGTTTTATAATTGTTATGTGGCGCATCTATTGGTGCCCATAATGTGCAAAATCTGTGTTTTAAATAAATAAATAAATAAAGTTTTCATTAGGTGGTTGGAGGCATTCAGCAGGAAGCCTTGCTTGACCTAGGTTTCGTGCTAGTTGGCACTCGTTAGTCAGCAAGGCGTATCTTGTGACCTCGAAGAAACTCATGTCTCTTCTGAGATTCAAACCCGCGTTACGCAGTGATTGCTGCATTCAGAGACGTTACCACTGAGCTATTAAAACTCGCGATTCACCTCCTTCGAGGTTGCAGATACGCCTTGCTGACTAGTGAGTGCCAACTAGCACGAAACCTAGGTCCAAGGCTTTCTGCCGATTGTCTCCAACCATTTAATATCCTCAAATCAATGTGCACCGTGACTGTGAGCCACCTAGAAAGGTGGCCACACTGCAAACTTGACTGAGAGAACTCAATCTGCACCAAAGATATGACTAGACACATTACACTAATTACCGACTGGTGTCCAATCAAAAATTATCATTAATCATCAATGATGTTTGCTAATAAATTTGGTTTATGCATAACGTTATCAGTGGTCTACCAACTTTACGATTAACATACTAAAAGCCACTTATTGTAAATTGGTCA